TATACTCACAAGTACAATCTATCTATGTAGTTGTCTTACTTCTTCGTTAGATTGTTTGGTTGACTCTGCACCATAGACCTTGGTCTGCTCGCTAAGTCAAGTTTGTTGTACCCTTTTCTTAATAAACAACGTTATGATTAAAAAAATGAACTTGATCTGAGAGGGGGCCAATTTTGCCTCTTATCGACCCCCGTCCTTTTGACTAGTATTACCAGATCCTTCAGCTTACTAGAACGAAGAAAATCTTAAAAATCTCAAGAATATATGATGATCTGTCGACAAACAAAAAAAAGTGCTTCCTTTCGTGATTTTTCATCGAATTTTTGGGACAGTTTTGTTTTGTCTTATGCAAAAGAATTTTAATCAATAATTATCCATTCAAAATAAAATCGAGCTTGTAATGTTCTAAATGCACTTGAACTACGCTTACACTACATTAGTGATTCGAACAAAAAAGAAAGAGGCAAACCTTTTATTTGAGATCTTTTCAAAATAGAGTAGACTGTTACCGCTAATGTAGTGTAAGCGTAGTTCAAGTGCATCTAGAACATTACAAGCTCGATTTTATTTTGAATGGATAATTACTGATTAGAATTCTTTTGCAATGTATTTAAGGCAAAATAAAACTGCCTCAATAATTCGACAACGGTATCCCTTGGCCGTTAGATCATAAGAATTATATCTCTCTAAAGAAAGAATATTCTCCTTTTAAAAGTGACGGATATTTTTTCACCACTACGATTAATACGCATTTTTAGTAAACATACATAAGAAGACCTCAGCAAGAACAAGTAAAAAATGTTCATATTTAGTAATAGAACTAAATATAATTAAGACAAAATGATTACAATATATTGATTAGCTACAGACATTCTTATCTAAATATGTATAATGTATTTCTACATAACAGAATACAATAGTGTAGTGATGTTTCGATAGAAGAAGCTGTTTTAGATAACGAAAATGTCTTGACAGAAAAAAATAAAATACTGTCTATTCATCAAATGTTAGAGATGTACATCAAGATAATAAGATTATTCTTCTTTATTAATGACATCGTCGAAGTTAAAAAAATGTGTACGACCTCAATCACAGTATGAGAAATATTATCATTTTTGTTAAACGGTGAATCAATATCCGTAAGTCAGTCTTATTGCTCAATTAACATGAGAAGAGAGGAATGAATAAGAAAAAAATGCAAGAATAATTTTTTTTTCCTAATCTTCATTATAAAAAACGTACAATAGTCCCTTTGATTCTCATATTCCAGATGATAATAGAAAAAATGATGTCTTTAAATGTCAAATGAGTATCATCACATCCAAGTAAATTCTACTATTAAAGAAATAGTTAAATGATCTATCTACTGTGATTGTTTATCAAAAATAAATAAATGAATATAATAAACTACGAATAAAAATACATGCTGACTTATTTACGTTCATTCCATAAAAATATCTAAACAAGAAAAACAATGACTGTTTAACAACACTTTTTGATAGAATATTTATGTATATCGCAAAAATCAGATGATTGACGCCATGTCTCTTCAAATACATTTTACATGAGAATATAAAGCGGAGGGAGAGTACCCACAAAAAAAAAATACTATAATAAATCAAAAAGAAAATCAACCTATCAAATAGAAAATCAACCAAGAGTTATTTGACAAATAATGCCACAAATCACCGATTCTGTTCATGATTTTAGGTTAGTCTTAAGTTTCGTTTGTTAATTGTATTCTTTTTGTTTTTCATAGCTCAGTGGACTTTGATAAACGTGATAATGTAACGTTTGTGCATCTTCATTCCATATGATAAAATATCTAGGGAATGTGACCATTATTACGCAAAGAAAAAAGAATTACAGTTAAAAAATATGAATAGTTTAAAATGTAAAGCGCATCGATTCTGTATAATTAAGTTTTTCTAAATTTGTGAGTTGTGCTTTAATCATAGGAGGTGGTCCACAACAACAAATCAATGTTTCTTCACTTGATGGTGGCATATGTTCTCGAATCATTTGTTCCGAAACAAAGCCTGTACTATATTTCCAATCTGATGTTGGTGGACGATCTACTGTATACCATAGTCTAAAACGATCAGAATTTGTACTTGTCAATAATTCGAGTTCTTCTCGTAATAGAATATCTTGCTCTGTCTGATTTGCAAATAAGAGCCAAATTTTTAAATCGACTTTTCCACCTTGTTCAATATTTTCTTCTTCTTTTAATATATGACATAGAATTTGATACATTGGCGTAATACCTGTACCACCTGCTATCATACCTAATTGTCGAATTTTTTTCGATTTATATGGTTCAGGTTTGCGTGTTCGTATATCAAATATACCATTATTTTTATATATTAAATTCCCCGAAGGACCATTTACTTCGATTGAATCATTAATGTGTAATTTATCCAAATATTGAGTCATTTTACCTAGACACAGGGATAAAGAAATCAGTTTCTGTCAAAACAACGTCGAGTATAAGCTAGGTATGCATCAGTTTCAGTAAAAAAGCAGTTAACTGTAACTGCTAAACTGTAAAACTGGTACATTTGATAATTGAAACTGATCATAGTTGTCAGAAAATATTTATACAAGAGATAGAATATCAAAAAAGAAAATCCATGTATTTTTGCTCAGGATATTGTGTCATTTGTTCCTTAATGGTTTTTCTGATAAGCTCTAGTTTTCATCCAGTCACATTACGACTTCTTGAAAAAATAGTCCCATCGAGCTCAACTTTCTACCACAAATAACGCAGAGCCCATCTCATGTTCCAATTTTTTTTCTTCGAAAAATGCTAAAAATCCTATGTAAAAAGTATAAAAGTCGGTCTTTGATTTTAAAAGCCTTCTCAGGCCAAAAGTTCAACTTGAAAACGCTTAAAAGGGATTTAGAACCTGATAGAGCATGTGTGGTAAAGAGTTGAACTCGATAGAATTATTTTTTTAAGGAGTCGTATGTGACTGGATGAAAACTAGAGTTTATCAGGAACAAATGACACAATATCCTGACTAAAAATACATGGATTTTCTTTTTCGATATTCTATGATGAAGTTAAAATAAAAAGAATTTCTGTTAGTTAAATTACCTTGTGGATAGACTTTGATAACTAAATCAAAATGGCCCTGTTGATCATCTGATGTTGTGGGCGTATACGGTCTTTTAACGAGATCACCATTGATATGTGTTGTTAAATAAATATGTTGTCCGACGGGTAGACCCAAAACATGACTGGATGATGGTAGTTGAAAACGAAATAGTCGCGTATCATGAGATATACTCTCTTTATAAGCTAATACAAAATTATATTTGATATCGGGACTTTTCAATGTAATTAATTTACTGTGCCCATTGTCAGTAGCTTGTTGTCGCTTTTTTTTTGACATAAAATAGGCGATACCAGCTACGATAGCTAACAGAGTGAAACCGCCCACAAGAGCTAGATTTTCGAAATTTGTTTCCCCTGTTTTAGCCATTAATCTTCAATTAGAATAAAAAAGATAAAAATTACAATATTACTCTGAACTAAACAGAAATAAATTTTATTGATAGAAAGTCAAGTGTTTTCACAAGAAAAACAAGATTATATTAAAGTCATCGAGAAAACAGAAAAAATATCACTACTGGGGGATAGACATCGAGAGCAACAATGTCAGATACTGTAACTTTGCCGAGATTCAAAAGAAACGGAACTAAAAAATATTTTAAATTGAAATAATATGATCACACATAAAAATTTTACAGAACTTTGCCAGTCAACAGATCTTGAGCTAAGATTTCTCACAGACATCGAGAGAGAGAGAGAGAGAGAGAGGAAACGCTACAAGAAGATGTGGAAAAGATAGAAGCAACAACAACAGACTATAGCAACCGTGGCCTCAAAAAAAGAAGAATTTAAAATTAGTCCATCAACCTTAGAAGAAATAAAATCACCCAGAATACAAATAGATACGCTATTGAAAAGTAAAATAACAGATCTCAAATTATTAGATATTCAAGTTAATAAATCTAAAACATTGTCATTGTTTTCAATTGATGTCAGAAGTTTAAACAAAGTGTTGATTGAATTCCCAACCAATAATTTTCAAAAATTTTATTCCAAAATTGATTAAAAAAACATCAGATAAGTTTCAGAACCATTGAAACGAGAATGTACAACATCCTTCGTCTAGAAAAATCTGCACACAATAATCTATTAAAACAGCGGTTATATTTTTCAATATGAAACCCCCACTTGTTTTATTAGCTCATATACAAGTTACACAATCTTCGATTGCCTGATTACTGCAATTCAATGGGACGATACCATTTTTAAAAAATCGAACAGCACTTGTGGGTGTGAAACTATACTGATAAAGCCGTTTAAACTCTGGTGTGAATACCCAAAGCTTCTCCCTTGTCTCTCTCTCTACTCTGCATGATCTGTACGTACCTTGTCTGAAATAGTACAACACATTCTATGGTTATGTTTGTCTTTGGTGTTCATCGAATATTATAACCAGATTAACTATTCCGTTACTGGAAGTAGTACATGTTTTTCAACATTGGTGCAAACTTCGGAAATGAAGCATCAAGCGGTCCGAAACGGAAATGATACATTTCTCGCCTTATAAAAGCATATTAAAATATTAAATACTGTAAATTACAAGTGGGTATTGACAGAACTTATCAAGTACTCATTAAGTACTCAAGTACTTGGATCAAATATGTTTGACCAGGTAAATTTGTTAGATCTCACCTCATATCAAATGCAAATACAACATCAAAAATACAGAACATTATTCTTCAGTATAGGTATGACTCACAACAGAAAAAGAACGTTTTTGTTTCTTTGGTGATCGAAAGATCCAATCTACGATGCATAAATGAGCCTTTCAGTTACAGAAATAAAATAGAAAATACAAAGAGCTAAGTCCATGTGGACAAATGAACTGGAATAATAATCTATCATGTCGACTAGGGATTTCTCGGTCTTATTAAATTAAGAAAGTGGCGACACCATTTTAAACGTATTGCAACATAGATCAGAATTCATTTCAAAAAAGAAACATGCCGAAATGGCTGAACCATCAGCTTGGATTTATTTCGTTGAATTACTGCTGTTGTATCATTTTGCTGGAAAGGAGGTTGGCTGTACTTAAAGAAACTATGGTAGAGAACGATCAAATCCTAATGCTTTGACATACTTCTGGAAAGTGTGGAGCAGAATGAGTAAATAAATGGGCACAGAAGAAAGTCTAATAGAAAAAAACAAGAGTATGACGAGAAAAGTTTTGACTTTTAACATGAAATCATATTATGTTTTTGTGAACTAGTAAAATGGTCTGTTACTGTTTTCTGCTCGTAGTAATTGTAACATGAGTAGATTGAGTACTAACCACATACTAGTTATCGCTGTTAGGAAATTTTCTAGTGGTTCTTTTCACTAATTTCTTTATTCACTTTCGATTGACTCTTAACAGAGACGACAAAGTTTACCGAATTTAAGGACAATTCCATTTTACGAACGTATGAAGGAATGTTATTGTTAAATTTGAGTTGAATCAAATAAGTTTTTATATAGAGTCAGGTGTTTTTTCAAAAGGAGATCCATTCTGACTCTCAAAACTGTTTATTTATGGAATTTGAATTTTGCATAATTTTCGTCATTACTGAAGTATGTCACAATTTTATTTTTTTCATAATTTGTGGAAGAGATAAAAAAAAATTTCAAATGATAGATTGAGATAAACATGAGGGTTCTTTTTTAATGAGATGTGTCAGAACTATGGCGAGTACTTATCTAAAAATATATAAATATTTTGTAGGAAGTTCATGTAACATCTTTCTTACAGCGCACAACTCTTGTAATCAAGTTTTGTTATTAGTAATTTCGTTAATAGTAGACGTAACCAGTCAGATTTCTACATTTTTGATCTATTCAAACCGAACTCAAAAGAATTTTGGAAAACTCAATTTGTTCAAGATTTAGATATGCTCTTCTTTTTCAACATTTTCAATATGATTGGACATGGATATTCTGATAAATATACTGTGACGAAAAACAACAACATTTTCCACTATTGAGAACGAAGCAAAAATAAAATCAAGAGCGAACACATTAATGATTGAGATGCATTGTAAACATTTTTAGCATCTAGATTAATTTCCTAAAAAACTTTTCCTTTGTTTATTTTTAGATTTAATCTTTAATATTCAACAAGAAAATTTTAATCAGATAATAAAAAATGGATCCAGTTGACCGTGGCTCAGTTAAAGATGTCGACCAACAACAATTTACCGTTGCATTTGCTGAATTTTTAAAGAAATCTGGTAAATTAGATGTACCAAGTGGAAATTGGGTGGACATCGTTAAATTGGGTATACACAAAGAAATGGCACCAATGGATCCAGATTGGTTTTATACAAGATGTGCATCCATTGCTCGCCATTTATATTTAAGACGCGCAGGTGTTGGTGGATTAACACGAGTGTATGGCGGTTTGAAACGAAACGGATGTCGTCCATCACATTTTCAAAAAGGCTCAAGATCTGTGGCTCGAAAATGTTTACAATCATTAGAAAAAGCCAAAATTGTTGAAAAACATGCGACAAGTGGACGAGTTCTATCACAATTGGGTCGAAGAAATATGGATACAATTGCTAAACAAGTAGCAGAAAAATTAGCAAGACATGAACGAAGTTAAGTGGAAAAAACAAAGAAGAAGATTTATGTCGTTTTGTTTTTCTTGTTAAAATTAAAGTAGTTCATGTTTTGAGCAAAAAAATTTCTGTAACATCGATTTGTGTAATTTATTGAAAATACCATTAAAATAAAAAAACACGTACTTCAATCCAATACAGTCTCGATACTTTTAATATGTCACTTATGGGACTATTGAACACAAAACAGAAGGTTTAAAATAGAATACTGGGCAATGAACTTGAACATAATTTATTTTTTCTAATATAATGACGTATAGTTTTACTAACTAATTTTTATTTTTTGTTGAAGTTTTTAGATCGCGATTTTTTATCTGAAAATGCATCAAAGTTTAACTTAGCAATTTTTAACTGAAATTTCGTTATTTTTAAGCGTGTTTGTCATCGATCAGTTATCAGAGGTGAAAACATTGCTATTGATGTTAAGAAACAAATCTGAAATCAATTTAGCTTATCATAATTAATGCAGTTATTAATAATAGCAGATAATATTACGAATAATGACGATATTTGTATTAACAGGAATATAATCAATTCCCATGTAAGGTTCATATACGATTAAATCGGTCGATTTTGACAAAAAAAAATTTAAAAAAGCATTGTAGTTTGGATGGATGTTATTACGCATGGTGAAGTAATAGAAAACATACTGATCATGGTTCTCCATCTAAAGCGGCTATTTTTGATAAACTACATAGTTATATGCACGAAACAAGACATTGCACAAGTTTATGTATTATCGAATAGTTATAATTCATATTTGTAAATAGAATTGAAAATAAGCGAAAAAGAGAACATCGCAACATACAACAATATTAGTTGTACTCTGACTAATGCTCGACATGAACTATCATTAACACGACATTGTGAAATTTAGTTACGGGTTGCCTTAAGTAAATTTTTTAGTTAGGTTTTAAACTTTTCTAGAAATAAAGATTTCTTAAATTCGTTTCTACTCAATTTCGAGTCTTTTGAACTTCAAAGCCAGGGAAAAAATATCTATAAATCAAAAAGTCTGTCAATTTATGAGAACAAGTGTTTTCTTTAATTTAAAACTATCCAGACATTTTGCATTCCTTCAGTACTAAGTTTTGGTATAATTTTAGAATGCTTCACTTGATCTGCTGTTTTAACCATGATTGGGAGAAATTTCGAGATACAAGGCTGGAAATTTTTTAAAAATTACATTTGATATAACTGATGTTTCTGTCAAAATTAGTTTTAAATAAACAGTTTTTTTCTGCTATAACGAGACCTTTAAGAGTAAATTTGCCTTTTTTTACACCTTGCTGGCAAATGTGGAGCGAAAGTCCGGTGGAGTTCAAATTCTTACCAGAGATAGAACATTGAAAGAGGAAACTGATGTATTTTTTCATTCGCAAAAACTCTATTCCAATAGTACTCAAAATGTTTACCACAAATACCTGAAATGATATCTCAAAATGCAAATTTATCTTTTTTATTTCTCATTTTTTCTTTCCAAGTGATAATATTGCAACATCGAAAACTGAGATTTTACATAGGATTTTACCATTTTTTTATACTTCGAGATGAAAAAATTAAAAACGATGAAGACAAATTTGTATTTGCAGATGAAAACCCATAAAAAAACATGTCAGAAAATTCTGGATAAAAATATATCAGTTTTTCTCTTTTAATGTTCTATCTCTGGTAAGAATTTGAACTCAATCGAACTTTCACCCCACATTTGCCAGCAATGTACAAAAAGAGGAGAATATTCTTAACTTGCTGACACGTCACAACATTTTTGTTAAAAAGGTACTATACGCTCTCATAATTTGATGTCAGTTATTCAGTAGAAATTTTATCCTGTAAGGACTATGCTGTCGAACTTTTGAATTACTTCACTTCTGCTTTAATACAGTATGAAAGTACGTTATTCAGATGTGTAAGTTAATATAATATCTTTCTCGATATTTTAATTTAATAAACAAGGTGGTAGCGGTGATGTTAATTGTGTTTTAGATATCTCTTTTAACCCTTTATATTATATTTTTATCTATTACTCTTCTTACCATCACTTGTATTCGGTGTCAAATCAAATGCATTTCATTCACAGATAAAGTGAACAGTGTAAATAAAATTAGCGTGAACAAATAATGATTCACTGATATAATGAAACAACTTGACATTATCATATGGCAATACACTTGAAGTAACTGTAAGTAGAATTTTGAACCCATTAATTTTGGACAGAAATATATTGTAAAAACTTTCCATCCCTTGGAGCGAAGAGAGGGATTTCATGTTTGAAAGCGAGAATTCCTATAGCAAAAGTTGTTGTCCGCCAGGTAGCAGAAGACATAGTCTTAAAACTGACTCTAAATAGTACAGTTTACATTATGTATAACTTAGAAGCTATTAGGTTCAAAGCAACCCTGATGAAAGAATCAGATAAGTCGATCGCATTCATTTTCTCTTTTATCAGAATGTATCAGCTGAGGAGCATCGGCCTTCAAAAGTTGTGAACACTTCACTTAGATGTTTAAATCGACTGCGATAAAAAAGATGCACTCTCAAAAGGTTTCAACATTCAATTATAAGACTGTTTTTTAACTATAAATATTCATAATAGATGTTTTTTTACACTGATAAGCGACGGAGCTGGTAGACTTCAGTCTCCTCTGATTTTGGTTCCAAGAGGCATATGATAATCGACGAACACATTGGAAATTTTTGTTTGAGTCTTCATTGATTCTGAGACGCTTCGCCATCTATGCTTGCACTATTCTGCTATTATTCATTATTTACACAGGTATAGCAAAAAAAGTTTATGTCTACTCTGGCATTCAGTTTCAGATTTTTCGGTTAGAACGTTAGATCAATAGACAATTTCATAGTTTTTATTCTAGAATTCGCTCGTAATAAATTCCAAATGTTAAAAATATTTTCAAAGGCTTTTGATGATATTTATTTATAAAAATTCGTCTTCTAGAACCATTTTCTTGAGTGAGTCAATCACTGAGTCAGTGCATATTCGTTGATGAGATAATTAATGGCCAATATTATCACACTTACTAATAGAGTGTAATGACTTGGAATATGAGATCATCTGTACCTTTTTATTTCAGTCGTTTTTAATATATTCTATATAAAAATGAAAATACTCTCTGACTATATTTGAAATTGACATGAATCGTATTTATTTGTATAATTAATCACTCACTATAATCAAGAATATTTTTTATACGTAAGATATCTGATTTTTAAAATGAATAATAATAGAATACACCGGTTTATTCTCGCAAAAGAACAAGGTGAAAATAAAAGGCATATATCAACTTATTTCAGGTAATTTAATTAAAATAGATAATTTAATTATTGACATGATAAATAATATTTTATATAATTATAGATTATTACCATTTTTAGCAAGTCACATTATATAAACATATATATTAGTAATTTTGATATTTCACATCGTATAAAAGAAATGAGTAAAAATATATTAAAATTATATAGTAATTAATTGATAAAAATTAATTTTAATACTGTTGATGAACGTAAGATTGATCAAAGTTGTAGATATAAAAATTTTATTGATATATTATTATGAAATTTATGTTAATATAAATTGATTTACATTCACAGTTGAAAAAATAAATATTATTTACATTTATTACCTATGCTCTCTGCGTTCTTATTCTTTATTTATTATTATTCACTTCTAAAATTGTAACTACTTCTATTTCTGATTTATTTTTCACATCTTAACGTGTAAAACGTACTCTATTATTATTGTTCTTCAATTTACTGCTATAGAACAAGGAGAAGAAAAAAAAAAAAAGATAAAATGCAATGGTCTACTCTCTGTTTCTTATGAATTTAAGAGTAAACAGTCAACTGCAGAAAGAACGACGATAATAGATCAAAAATATAGTTTATTTATCTCTCTAAGTTGTTGTTATTATCTTATTCTTGTATCAGTAAAAAGGTCAAGTAATAAATCCTTCATTCATCCAGCTGATAAATGTAAAAGATTTTTTAATACTTTTATTTAATACAAAGAAAAAAGTTGTCATGGAAAATTCTATATAGAAAAAAAAACAAAAAAATCGCTATGACTAAAACTTACAGAATTTTAACTCTTATCCTCTTCTCTTTTTTTTTTCTCGCTTATTGATGATGTTCATCAGTGCATGTCACATTATAGCTGTATTTCGATCATAATCTGTTCAATTTATTTGAATTTGAATAAGAGTGTCGATCAATATTACCATCTCATCTTAAATGTGTGACTAGTTTTTACAATAGTATTGAGATACCAGAATTAGAAAATGTATGTTTTAAAAAAAAACAATAATATTCTTTGTTGTCATACGAAAAAACAACAACAAGCAAAACATCTTAAATGTATTACGTGTTTTTTCAAAATATTCTCTTTTAATTAATAGTCAAATAGAGTGGTTCTAATATAAAATTTGTTATAATAATACCATACTGCTAACATTGTAAATGTAAACAAATGTTAGTAGTTTCTCTGATTAATTATTGTTTATCATAAACATGACAAGCAAAAGAAGAAAATAACAAAAATAAAAGATCGTCTATCTTTTGCTCATTTATCGTTTAATTATTCCTAGTTGTACATACAATTATTGAAAAGAAAAGAAAATCTAAAAGGGTTAAATAGAGAAACAATTGCAGATAGATGTTGTTTTGTTAAAAAAATACAAAAAGAAAAAAAAAGAACCGAAGAAAAATAAAAGTAAATGAAGTTTACTTTCACATGTATCAAAGAATTACGTGATGAAAATTGTTGATGTTAACAAAAAACGAAAAACATATCAAAGATCATCTATAATCTGATTTTATAATCAATGTGCGTCGATCATTATCATTAACATTTTGTTATTGATGAACCAAAGAAAACATTCTAGACAGTTGTTTTTACTGTTTTGTTTTATTTTAATAAAAAGAAATCAATATAAATACTCGTAGGATTTTCTTGTGTGTAAAAAACAAAAGTGTTAGTACGTCAAAATAAAATGGATGATTCTAACGTGTTAGAAACACTATCAAAAAGAACTTTTGCTCTAAGAAACAAGCTGGTTTTAACCGTTTTAAATGTAAAAGTAACTAAGAGATGGATCATGCAAAATATAAAGTAAGATGCGATAATTAATGTTATACTTTCTCTACTGATAATGCTATTAGTCATAGAATTGATCTTTCTTATGTATAATATTTTGTTTTTATTTTATTTTCATATTTTTATTTATATTACTTTAGACGTTTGCATAAAATGGGTCTTTCAGTATTAACTGGCTTATTCTATTCTTTATTACCATTAGTATTACTCATCGGTACGTTATTCTACAAACGTTTTGTAGGTATTGTTTTATGTTTATTTTATTTATATTTAGGTACTATATTTCGATTTAGTATCATATCTATCATATACGGTTTTCTTCTACTCGCTTTACCATGGTTAGGACCGTTAACAGAATCATCAATAAGAGGTAGTATATAAAATATGTATCTTTGATTTTATGTCAATTACATGATTTTACCTTTCTCATCTCTTTTTTTGTTTCTAGTTCGTTATCGTTTATTTATATTTATTATTTTATTAGTTAGTTCATTAATATTAATTGCTCAAATAATATTCCAGTCAGTATTATTAGCGAAAAAACCTTATGGACATATATTAATAGATTGTAAGTTAATAAAAAAATTAAATTTATCTTCAAATAATTATTGAACATTTTAGGCTCAGAGACAGTAAAAGTTCTACGTTTATTCGGCTTAGAACGGTAAGTTTCAATATAAGAGTGTCATCAATTTAATTGAGTTGAATGTTGTTGTTAGATGGAAATGTATGTTAATTTAAGTTTGTTTTTTATTTAGTTTGGATAATTCAGATGCCATTCGTATTCTAAGACTTATATTTCCTGATATAATCATATTTACTGTTTCAATCATTTGTTTGTATACTATTCGTCGTATATTAATATCTGCTCAAAATAATCAACCACCAACGACTGAAGCATCAACTCCCACACGTAATTCACATACGATTACATCTTCAAAACAAAGATTACAAACAAAATGGCCACGTTTATTATCAATTTTAAAATATATACGTTTACTCATACAATTCATCCTTGTTGGATTTGCCGCTATTATTTATCCGTCAATACTTAATTCAGTTTATTTTCTATTTTTTCTTACTATTGCTACATTATGGGCTTGCTCAATTAAATTCGGAAAAAAATATATGATATTTAGAAGTTTATTGTTATTATATGCTGGCGTGCATTTATTTCTCTATTATCTTTATCAATTTGGTTTTTTTCAAGAAATTTTCCCACAAAACACAGTATGGACAAAGTAGGTAGTAATTATTTTTTATTTTATCGAAAAACAAGAAAAATATGGACTATTCTTCATGTTGTAGTATAACGGGTTTTACAGCATTAGTTACGAGTAATTGCTCAACGAATGAACCTCATTTACAACATCATTTACCATGGTCCGATTATACTAATCCAGCTGCTGTACTCTTACTCTACTTTTATTTCGCATTTGAAACGTCACGTACAATTTTTAGACGGGTAAGAATTATTAATAAACAGTCGAGATAAAATTATAAGAGTGAAAGACGTTGATCGATAATTTAAAAGTTAGATTTTTGAATTCCATCTTTTAAATACTCCATTTTTGAAATAAAAAAGTCTGTTAAAAGAACAGCTGCGATTTGCTATTTATAGGTCATGACTACTCATATCGAGCTTTACTCTGAACAAGAAGAAGAAGTAAGATATTGTTAATAGTGCCGTATTATCTTTAATCGTTGTACTAATCAATCACTTGAAAGAAAACTGTATTTGTAACCATTCTTTAGTAACATTGCGAGCGCATAACTTTCAGAAGGACATAACTATGTAGTTTGTGAGTACTTTTTTGTGACTATTATTTACATTGGACTCATTTCTTTTAGCATCGTTCGAGCAATGATAGTGTACGAGCTGTTGAACAACAAGTAAATATTTCAATTTGCTTTTATTTTATTGCTTGTTTGCTGTGACTTTTTTTTTATCTGTGTACTACTACATCACTTCCTCTCATTTCTGTTTTGTTTGTAGCTCACCATTTTTGTTAAATTTATACATTGCAGACAAATACTATCACTAGTATTTCTGTTATTAATTCTCTAAACGAGAATAAAAATGATTATCATAATCATTCAAGTAACAGAGAACAGTTAAATCGAATGAATTATTATCAGGAACTTGAGTATTCTGCTTATCATTGTTCATACGAGAGAAGAGAAATCATCGTCATCATCCATTGCTAGTACTTCATTTGATGATTATAAGTAGGTTCGATATTCGACAAGAGCATGTCTTCTTCTTTCTTTAGCTTTTCTTCTTGATTAGAATTAATTTTTGTTTGTTTTGATAAAACAATGCTGTGCAAGTTCTTAGCTTAATACTTGAATATTTGAACACTAGATCACCTTGCTTTCAATTATTTTAACGTTAGATTTCATCTGATTGTTTCTCAAAAGCCAAAATATGATGCCTTTTTTTTTCGTGTTTTCAGCGTTTAGTCCCCGGTGATTATCCTTCTTCATCGCCTGACATACAAGAAAGAAGAGTTCCGACAACAGCAACAACAACAACAATGGCAGGAGAAATTGTAGATGGTGGTCATTCTGATGAACTACCGCCTTCACGAGGACCACAACGCTATCGTCTATCTCATACGTGGACCATCGAGCGTACTGATGATCAAACATGGCAAGGAAAAATTGTCCACCTTATTATATCTGCTTTACGTGTACTCCAAAAACAAAGTTATCTATTATCATTAATAGCCATGCTGGTAAGAAACAAAAGAATTCTTGAAGAGTATTTAAAATTGTGATACAAGTCACATCTTTTAGTAGAACATTCTAGAAAAATCATATCGATTTATGATTATAATTATGTCGTTCTTTCTTTTATACTTAGGCATGGAGTATAACCTACCATAGTTTGTTAACATTAGTATTTTTATTATGGGCATGTTTCATTTGGATGTTGCCTCGATCACGTCTATGGTGTTTACGATTGTCACCATTTTTTACGTTCTACGGTACCGCATTATTGATTTTACAATATTTATGTGGTTTCAAAATAAGTTTTCAACAATTACATTTTGGTCGTAATGAATCGTCTATACAACAAATTGGCATTATAATTAGTGATTTTCAATCAACATTCACTGACTTACTTGCCAAAGTAGGAACATTTATTTGTTGTTTTCGTAAATGTACAGCCATTTAGTTTATTGTTTAACTTCTCTGTAAACTTGTTGGTGTTGTTTTAGACGTTTTATTTGATGTTTTTTTGGTTAACATTACGACAATTCGTTTCAGTAATTAGAAATCCAAAAACTACAGAAGAGCAACAAACAGGTAATATATTTCATATGAATTTTTCATCTCAAACAGTTACATAAAACAAAATATCTCATATTTCTACTGAAAACAAACCCCAATACTAAACAAATATGCATTCATGAACACTATCGATAGTATTTCTTTTTGACAGTCTTAACTTGTGCTTTAGTAGTTGAATATCGCATAACAAGCAGTAGGATACTACAGCACTCCAAATAGTCTTGTGAATTTAGTATTCAGAATGTATATCTAAGTTTCCCACTAAATTAAGCTTGCTCTGATTAAGATCTAATCGTGAATAAACAATTAGCTAAAAGCCTATTAGATCGTTTCTATCGTGTATTCTAGTAGTTGAATTGAACAGAATAAACGGTAACAACAGTGTTTTTGTTTTGCTCTTTGTCAACATGTGCAGAGTTTCCGACAGACGACAAAAAAAAGTATACTTTTTCATCAGTCGTTTTTCTTTCTGAAAGTGTATGGTTGCAAAATATCACACGAATACTCGGACACTCTGTAAACGTGTTTGTGTGTGTGTGTGTGTGTGTGTGTGTTTGAGCTGGGAAACACTGCTGATGATTACATTGAATCAATCTCATTTCTCTGAGTGTAGTTTTATCTGATGTTGTGTGAGTGTTAATGTGTAGTACACAGTTTTTATACTTTAAATTATTGATATAATTTTATCTTTCAAAAATCTGAGTCATTTTACTCAACTGTGATGAAGAATCATTGTTGCTTAAACTAATCGTAAAGATTAGATTATTTTTTGTTTCTACTAACTGTTTCTTTTTACGTTCAGAACGAGGTCGTTTATCAAGTGATTCAAGTACACGTTCTTATTCTCGACGATTAGGTAAACTAATTAGACACATCTTTCTTTTCTTTTCCTTGCACCTTTGTGTTTTGCTTTAGGTCATTGGATTGTTGATTTACTGACAAAATATTGGATATTTCTTTCGTGTGGTATGCTGTTGTTGATGAGTCTCCAACAAACGGTTGTGGGTTATAGAATTGTTTATATGATGTTCTATCTATTTTTCGCATTATCCTTTCAAGTAAACAACATACCGTCTGAGTAATGTATAAAAAAAGTATTATTCTTTTTTTGTTTTTAGATTTCCTTTGCATTTTGGCGACGTACAATAGCTATCTTTCATCTTGTCGTTATTATATATTCAATGTTAGTTTTAATTGTTATTTATATTTATCAGTTTCAAACAGTTTATAATTGGCTACGAATAGATGAAGTGTGGTAAGTAATACAGTAAATATGTTTTAAAGTGAATTTCACAATTATGTATACTAATAATGATTTCTTTCTATACAATGATAATAACTTATCCTTCTATAGTTCAGTAATCTACAGGCTTCGTAAACGTCCTACTTTTCCTACTTTTTTAATTTTCTGTGTTTTTAGTAAATTCACAGTCAAAAAGACATTTTTCTCCTATTTTTCACTAATGAACCTTTTTAGTTTTGCGTTTAAAAACTTCACATGACTCAATACTAGCTACTCATGTTGTTATAAATTCTTTTCTCTTAACCTTCTAAAAATGATATATAAATCTACTCAGGGTACCTTTCACGAGCTTGTCTAACTTTGTTTTTAAAAAGATCTATTTTAAATAGTTAGGAGAAAAAAATTTATAGCAAGTTTTGACATAAGTACCTAACGTTGACTCATGTGCAGTTTTCAAACGTAAAACTAAAAATGATTCACTTGTGAAAAGTAGGAAAAAAATGTCTTTTCCTATACATAATACCCATTTTCCGACCATTTTCACAAAATGAATAACTTTTTCTCCACTAATATGAGCTGATGAAGATAAACAAGCATGCCACCAGATGTAACTTTCAATGCTCTATTCAACCATATGTGAATTATTGCATTTGATCAACGGATCAAAACCGAGGAGACAACCAAGAAGAGACGGGTCTTATATACAGTGTGTGTCGTAAAGTGCGTGTAAAATCATAAAAAAACATCACACAGGACTCGCCGACATCTCATTTTGTAGAAAAATGTTGCTTTACATCTGTAATGACTCAAAAATAGTTTGTATGTCCAGATCTTTGAGATTTGTGTCAAAATTTAGAAAAGTAAGAAAACAATGAAACCTATACATGTCTCCAATATTTGATTTATAATACATCATCCTAGTGTTTTAAAATGTTCTATTACATATAAATCGATACAGAATTGCCTGCTCTAAAAAATAAAGTAAGATTTATTTTGGGGTTGCCATATACATGATTTATATTTAAAAAGTATTGAGAAAAATGCAAATTTACAAATATGGAATATCTTAGTCTTCTTCTTATTTAGTCCTAGATAGTTAAACATATTATTATGTCTAAATATATGATCTTATAGAGTAAACATTTCTCTTTCAAATGAGCCATGAACGAATCATGGGAGTTTAATAGTTTTTCAGAAAATCGGAAAATACGAAAATTTGTAAAAATTCACGTGTTTTTCTTCGAATGAGACAAATAAAAAATAATAAAATAAAATTTTCCCCCGGACAGCATGGTTGGTGCTGTGGCGGGACTTCTCTTAAAAACTAAAAGCTACTTTACCTACTTTTTGATATAAATCCTACCATAACGGACTTCAAAATCCTACTTCTACTCCTACTTTTTTATTTTTGCAATTACGAAGCTTGAATCTATCAAACTTCATATTATATCTTTTTTATTTTTCAGGTTATCGTCATTAGGCTTAGAAGATTTAAGCACAGATAGGACAGATGCATTTGCTAGTAAATTATTGACACCAACTACATTTCTTGTGGTGAATATTCTACAACTATATTATTTTCATTCGGGTTGGATGGATATGATAAAGATAAAAAGGTACCATTTATAATCTATTCTTTACTTACATCAAGCAATTATTTCTACTGATAGATTATTTCATCTTTATATATTTAATTTTAGTGACAAAAATATTCAAGGACTACCAACCGCTACATTACAAGAAATTCATAAATACGCTAGAGGTAAGAAAGTCGATAATTTTTTCTATTTTTTCTATCGACAGTTATAAATATTTGTTTTTTTTAAAGAAAATGTTCGAAATACGGACTATCGACGCACGGAATCAATATTGAAAACAAAACCGACAAACTGGCATGAAAGTTTATACAAATTATATTTTTATCTAAATCGATATTATAAAAGGTTAACGTATTATGCATGGAGATTTGCTGAAATACATATATACAAATTTGTTTTATTTATCATGATTCTCGTTGCTACATTAAATGTATGTTTCTAGTAGAAAATATTTCAGTTGAATAATATCGTATCTATTATTTTTTGCTATCGTAGGTATCAGCATTTAACATTGTTTTGGTCATACTGGCAACGATTGGCTTAGTTCTGTTTCGTATACGAGCATTAATCAATTTACTAACAATGATTGCTACTGGTCTATATATTATTATCGCAATGATATATCAATTAGCAATTGTAAAAAGAGAAATTACTGAAAAAAAAGTTTTCATTAACAATTGTACAGTGGTATGTTTTAACATACATTTTATTGCCATGATTTACTACGGACTTATAGATTCAAAAATTATCTCTATGTTTTCTTCTCTTTTAATCATTTTTGAACATAACTGACAATGGATATATGCTTAATGATACAGCAAAATGGTTTGGATTGGAAGTAGTACCACGCATTGATCAATACATTGGAGTAAGTTCATATAAATTTTATTCAATTAACTCTTCATTCTCTCTTCTATCAATGTAATATGCTATCTGAAGATTTTATTTGTTAGATGGTCGTTGATCTATTGATTTTTCATTATTTTCTTTTATATATTTTAGCTTTATGTATTTTTAACATTAGTGTTAACATTTGATGGAATATCACGTTACCGTCAACGTCATCGTCGTATGGAACTATCTGAAAAGTTTAACGTACATTTAGTTGAAAACAAATATTCTATTTTATTTGAACCATTTTGTATCAAAAACACGGAAAATAGCACATACGAATATGATATTGTTAATTATAAACAAGCCGATGAAGGAATTGTACTATTTTTACAATATCTTATAAATTTTTTCTTCTATCGTTTTGGATTAGAGGTAATATTTATCGATTCTTTTTAATTATAAATTTAATGTTGTTGTTTTTTTATTAGATCTGTTATATAACAACTGTTATTGTTATTGCTGTGAGATTAGATGTCGTGGCTATTTTTTATGCGATATGGCTTGGTTTATTTCTAATGTCAAGACGTCGAGCTCTAGTGAAAATATGGCCAATCTATTTATTATTTTTACTCATTGTTTTTCCAGCACAGTACTTGTTTGTCGTTGGTGCACCACCTTTTCTTTGCTTACGTAAGTATAAATACTGATATTACTACACTTTCTATATTGCTCGTCATGTTAAAATGTTACTCTTCTAGGATACTGGTGGTCACATGTATCATTTAATGGTTGGCCAGAATTAAAACGTTGGCTCTATTTACCCGATTATGAGCATCCACCAAGTGCTCGATTACTAATTGGTAAAATAAAAAATTATACATACATCAAATATTTTAAGCATTTTAATATTGTTCTTTTATGTTATAGCTGATTTTTTTCAATTATTTTTTGCTTGTCAACAATGGCGTGTATTTGATTATGAAAATAATGAAAAAGATAATGCGATCATCGATGCTGGTGGTTCAAACAGTGAGATTATATATAATAAAGATTTATACATGAATAATCCTACATGGGACTATGTCGTAAAAAAACGGTAAGCTATCTTTGAAACAGACAATAAGAAATTATTCTTTGATCAATTTAAATTTTATTTATTTTATTTCTGTAAATGAGTTTATATATTCGTCCTGAAGCGAGGAAATACTCTTGATGTAGAAAGTTTATGTACAAATGAGAAACAACAACGAATACTAGTAAAAAAACATAAATCGGTACAGAGGTCAGAGTTATCTGACAAATAGAAGATATAAACAGAAAAGACGAAGGAGACTGTATGCATGTAACAATGTGTTCTAATCTAGTAGAAAAATATTTAGTTATGGTAATGTATGAGAGAAAACGACAGTTGATTATTGTGTCATATAATTTTTAATCATTTGAATAATTGATGTTGACCGGGATTTTACTTGTATATCACTGTATCATTGTCAATAGACATCTTCGATATAGACCAGGAAGTGAAGTAGATCTAAACACTTCGTTGAGACACTCTACAGTTAGTTTTATAAAGTTTTGACATTTGTCATCTACTATAGTGACTATTGATCGACCTGAGAAATAATTATTTGAAAAAGTTTCTTCTAACCCTCTTTTTGTCAAGTATCTGAAGAAAACGCTTTGTGCAAAACCATTTATAGAGTGTTGAAGGGGAGTAAGGATGAATTTATTCTTGATATATTCTAGACACTGGCTTGATCAATTCAAATATATTGGATTCATGTACGGATGTTGGATAGTGTTAGCTATTGCTTATTTTGCTGGAACAACACGCATTAGCCTATTAGGTTTAGGTTATTTAATCGCTTGTGTCTATTTTCTTTGGTATGGACAAGAATTTTTCACAAAACCAATTCTTAGGTTACTAAAAATGTAAGTACTTCTTCAAAAGTTTTATGGTTTTTTATCTCTAATATAGTGTTAGACAAATCGACTGAAAAAGTTATCTTTTTCATATCTCTTTTAATAATAAATAAATAAAAGAAAAAATGTTTGTTTAATTTTTAGGTGGAATTATTTAATTTATTATTGTTTTGGTGTTATTTTTATTAAAGCTTGTCTGCAGGTACTGTATATTTTTTGTTTGATTGTAAAAGTTTGAGAGCGAATAGTAGTTATCCAATTAGTTTGTCATTTTATCCATAAAGTCATGTGAAACAAAAACACAAAAGACAATACTAATTTCCTTTCAGGTTGTAGGATGTCTCGGTTTTGTTAGTACAAAATGTTGGATTATACAATTATTTGCCATAATATGCTTGAAACCAGGCATACAGTTATTCAAAGATTATTCTAATTTAGGTTTATATTTTTTTTATTTTTTTTTTCTAATTTCTTTACCATCATCTTAGCTGTTAAAATCTTCTTTTTGTTCAAGTATTTTTTGTTAGTATATACCCTTCCAACAATCCTTACATTCAAGTGCTTCATCACTGAATCATTAGATAGTTTTTCAATGAACTTTGCTTTCTTTTTTGTGATTGTCGTCAAATGGCATGCAGGTTTTTTTAGCATAATTGGAATGGCTTGTTCCCCTATCGATTGCACGACAATCTTTTGAAATTTGAGAAAATCATATTTTTACTTTTAACATTTACTTAGATTAGAACTAATAATTTTACCATTACGATATCTAATCTCTTTTATCAGATAGATTCTTGACGACAGAACATACTACTTCATTAATGATTATTATATATAAAACTATGAGTAAAAAAAATGAATATTAAAATGTATTATCGTATAACTGCAAAACAAACTGTAGAAACTATTAGTTCCGTTATTTGTTCTTGAGTTCGTTGTACTTCAAACTATTGGTATCATTAAATGAAAATTTTCTTGCATGGGTTATACATAAATGTGTTGTCGTTGTTTTATTTCCGTAATTGCAGATGCTTGCTCCTATTAAAATTATTTATCCTTTATTTAAACCATAGATTTTTTGTATTATTTATTTTCTTTCTCTCTAGGTGATCGTTTGTACATTTTTATACAAAGCAATTGCTTGTGGCTCTGCTTTTTTTTGTGCATTTATGGACTTATTTGTTTCTTGTTTAAAACGAGAATATATACCACAAAAGGAAAATTGTAGTTCTATTATGGGTGAGGAAAAGCGATCTGTATGTGTGTGGGCTTTTGTATGCTTAGTAGCTTCATTGCTTCTTTTTTTAATATTATTTCAAATTTTTATTTAAAAATAAAAATATTATCTCTCTCATCATCTTTTTCAGACATTAATCGGCCGTGTGGTGACAGTACTGGTGACGCAAGTTTATTCATGTTCGTAATTTTAACTGAACAAAAAAAAGAACGTAACATAATTTTAAATTGTTTGGTTTTTGTTGTTTAGGGATGGATTTTGTTTAATATTTCTTCTATTACAAAAACGAATATTCAGCAGCTATTATTGGGAACATATTGTGGTAGAATTCCGTTCACAAGCAAAATTTGCTAGTCAGTAAGTAAAATACTTAGAAAATGACAATTTTAAATAATGTACGGATGGTTATTATTGAACTTGTTTAAAATTGTTATTATTTTTCATTTTTTTTTGTTTGTCTTTCTAGAGGAGCTGTTTTACTTAATAAGATAAATCAAAATCGATTAGATGAAGATGGTAAACGTGAAGATGAAACTGTCTCAAAAATAAAACGTAGTATCGACCGAATTAAAGCACAACAAAAAAAATTGAATCAAACCGATGGACAAATGGATGAATTAACAGATCATTTTGAAGGTAAAAATTTACATTCTCACCTCAACTCTCTATGAAAATCAAATATGATGGTTCATTCAAAGCGATTCGTTCGGGCGATTATTACATGTTTGACTATGACGGAGATGATATTTCCGATGTTGAAAGTAAAGATGAAGCTACAGTTGCTCAAGAACAAGTGAGTGTTTCAATTAGACAAATACACTATTTTTACGATATTATCAGACATTTACGTTATTTTTCTCCTTGTCTAGATTCTGGAAGTATTGACGTCGAACGATACAAAAGATTCTGATTGTAAATACTATTGCTTATTCGGTAGAACTAACATAAACTGATAATTATCATTTTTAAGTGCAAAAAATACCCGTAGAAGAGGATTTACAGCGTCGACAACAGATCACGACAACTACATCTGTTCAAGAACAACAAGAAGTACCAAAAGGTACAATTTTGTTTTTAAGAAGAAATTAGTCCTGATCGATTTATTCAATCTACTGAATGTCTTTTTTTTTTCTATTTAAGAATCTAGTAGTTCTGTAATCAAATCAATATTTGGTAAAATCGCAAGTATCGTAATAATTATCATCGATTATATAATTAAATCATTTAATCATCATTCACGAGATTATCGTCAAGTATCTAGCCAATTAGTTGAAATGAAATTAAAAGATAAAGTTGTTCAACAGACTAATATTGAGCAAGATGAGCAACAACCACCAATAACAACTGTACAACAAGTAATTAATATTCATGTGTTACTATTTTTGTCTAGATACGATTAATATAACAGTTCGTTCTTCAATTCTAGGGTTTGATCATTGATTTGGATCCATTGCCTGATGATGATAATAATACGACTATTCGTACAAATATGTATGTACTTATTAAATATTATACAATAGCATCAAGTTCTCATTTATTATCTGTTTTAGTCAAGAAAAGGTCTCTACTGCAAGTGACAATGATGTGTTAGCAAATCGTTCTCGTTTTTATCGTTTATCAGATTCTATTTTCTATATGGTAATGTCTCGTTCTGAACTGCTATGTTATACTGCAATGGTCATTAATCATTTAACTTCTGGTGCGTTATTATCAATGCCTTTACCACTGTCTATTTTTCTATGGGCAATGTTATCGAAACGTCCATCTCGAAATTATTGGATTACGATTTTAACTTATACTGAAGTAATGATTGTTATTAAATATATATTTCAATTTCGATTTTATCCATGGAATAAACCAGGTGCTGAAGAACACGGACCATTATTTCTTGTGAATATTATTGGTATTGATCGTAAAGGAGGTGCGGCATCCGTTGCTGATTTATTTTTATTATTATCATTGTTTTTACATCGATCAATATTGAAAGTACATAAAAATTTTGTTTTTTATATATATATATGTATCTTACTCTTTTTTTTCCTATAGCAAATGGGTTTATGGAAAGCTAAGCATCGATTACCGGAATTACCGACAACAACAACAGTGACAGCTTTACAAATAATACCCAATAGTTCTGAAGATGTTGTTCAAAATGTTGAGCCAGCAATTAAAGATGAACAAACAGTGAAAAAGTAAACAACTGAACTCGTTTCTTCTTGTACTAGTGCAATATGAATATCGGTTATAAAAAAAAACGTTAATAATCTAACGAAAGTTCATAGAATAAGATCCATGTGTTGCATGTACATAGTTGATCTCATCTTCTCGGTAGATCGAGACTATGAACAACTTTTATTTCTTACATCTTTAAACCGTTACTTTTGTATAGCTCTTTATTCATATCGTGTCTTTGTTTGATAAATTGAATAGTAAACGTTAAATTTTCTTATTTTAGACAATTCTCTTTGATAGAGTCGATCAAAAAATTTTATCGCCGTTTAAAACGAGATTTATTTGTGAAAGATGTCTATGCACCAATGTTTTTCTGCGATTTTTTAAATATGCTCGTGGTTATTATTTGGTATAATCAATTTGGAGTAAGTGTAACAGAAAAAAATTATATATATTAGTGGTAGTTTAGGATTATTATAAAGTTCTTTTTACAATCTTTATGTAAAAAAACATAATAAGTTGATTGTTTTTAGTTATGAAAATCTGACAAGGTAACATTATTTTTTTGTTTTTGCAGTATGTCACTATATCGAAATGCTTCATTTCTTTTTTTTGCACGGTGTCAGGCGCCAATCCCTTTAGCATATTTCTTTTTGAGCGAGTACTGCTCTCATTGTTTAATAGAACAGATGAATGAAATATAATGCTTATGGTGTGGAGAAAGTACAGAATTAGCAAATCTGTAGAATCGCTAAAAATTGTGCGAATCTATAGAATAGCTAGCGATTCTATAGATTTATCAGTGATTCTATAGCTTTTCTAATAAATATAGAGAAAGTATAGAATGGGATTTTGAACTTCGCTACAGAATGTACAGAATTTTCAAATACTAAAATTTAGATTGTTTTTTTTTCTCTAGAAAAAGGACAAATGTCTTAAATATGGACATTTCTCGCTCTTTTCACGACATTTTGCACTAAATAGTTACGCAAAATGTCGTGAAAAGAGCGAGAAATGTCCAATCTAAAATACAATATTTGAAAATTCTGTACATTCTATAGCGAAGTTCAAAACCCAGAAATCTGTACAGTCACTGGCAAATTTATAGGTTCGCTAATTCTGTACTTTCTCCACAACGCTTTATAAATGCGCATACAAACGAAAATCAAGTATTTTAGAATAGCCGATGGGTTCTTTATTTAACTAAATAATTAAAAAATTTAGTTAAAATCAATTAGTCGTGAATAGAGCTCTAACATTTCTTTTATAATTTTAAGTAATAGATAGTTCGATATGCATTATAGCATGTCCTTGAAAAATGAAGTCATATTTCACAAGGAAATGCAGAATATTATCATTTTAAATAATAGATATTTTTCAGATGTACTAAATAAATTGTATTTTTTTAAAAGGAACGTGCCGGTGCTAATGTTGTTCAAACAATTAAACAAAATAAAGTAAATATTGATTTTAAAATAGTAGCTAGTCTATTGTACAATTACGACTTTTTTTTCTAGGTTCCCTTTGCTTTTCTGGCTATATTACTAATTCAATTTATTGTGATTATTATTGATCGTGCTCTTTATATTAGACGTAATGCTCAAGGCAAATTTATCTTTCAAATTATTCAAATTATCGGCGTACATATATGGCTATTTTTCATATTGCCTGGCATAACTGCAGTGTAAATAATTATTTTCTCTCGAATAATTCTTATTTTTTAAATAAAATGATTGATATTATTTTTATTTTTGTTTTTTATAGCAAATTTCGTAATAATGGTGCAGCTCAATTATGGTATTTCTTAAAATGTATTTATTTTGGTTATTCATCGATACAAGTACGATTTGGTTATCCAAAACGAATTGCTGGAAATTTTCTAATGAAACGTTTCAATTATGTAAATCAAATATTGTATAGAGGGTAAGAAAATGTGTTAAAATAATAATCATAATTTCTACATATCTCTCACAATTTATTATTATTTTTTTTTATTCAGATATTTACTGATTCCATTTTTACTTGAATTACGAACAATTATGGATTGGATGTTTACAGATACAGCCTTGGGTTTGTCAAGTTGGCTACAATTACAAGATATTTATTCAAATATGTATCTATTAAAATGTTCAAGATGGGCTGATAAGGTAACTGTAATAACTAAATTTTATTTCTCTTTTTTTTTATAAGTTGTTCCTGTTAGAAATAGGAACAATTTCATATTGAGCCATGTACATGATCGTAAAACCCAAGGTGTCCTCTATCCAAATTTATAATCGTCTGAACTTCAGTGAAGGTTGTTAACGGTTTCTAGAAAGGCTTACTAGAAGTCATGGAGAGTAGATATTTTCAAAAAACTTAAAATATAGATAACAAACATGGCGACGATGTTAAAGAGCAATTTTGGAATTGAATTTTAACTTTCTTTAAATTTAAATGTTCTGAGAAACGCTTCGAACATTTTTCATATTTTTGAGCTAAAACATTTCTTTTAGAAGAAAAAGATCCGATTCTTTTACATTGTTCACCTACGTTATTACTACAAATTAAAACTAATCTGAAATCTCCAACTTCTATGTGTAACGAGAAATCTATTAAACGCTAAGCACCTGATTTAACTTTTATTATGGCGACATCACCGTGAACATTAGTCAATATAACTAATAGAAAACTGTCATCATCATACTTTCTCTTGTTCAATTTTCCTGAAATTTCCATTGAGATCGAATTTTCAGCTACCGAGAGACGTTTCTGTCATGGAAAGAGTCTTAGTACAGAAATACTGTAAATATAACAGCTGTTTGACCCGACACTATGATAAATGTTTCTGATAATGATCATCTCTTTTTTTTTGCCTTTTAGAAATATCCGACACCTCGTGGTAAAACTCGTGCAAAATTAACAAAATATGGCGTTGGTGGATCGTTGTTAGTCCTGTTAATCTTGCTCATTTGGTTTCCACTATTATTCTTCTCCTTTACATCCTCATTTTATCAAAGAAATCCACCTGTTGAAGTGACAGTTGAAATTAAATTAGGAGGATATTTGGTTAGTTGTAACATTTCTTTTAAAATGCAAATAAGTTATTATGGTTTTCTTTTTTTTATTAGTCAATTTATCGCATGACTGCTCAAAATGATGATATAGCTCCTTTCGGATCAACTGACTACAATCTGTTAAGAACGAAAATTGGACAATCGATTAATACTGCAGTATATTTCTAAATCTTATGTTTTTAGTAACTTTTAATGAACCTAATTATTTTCTTTCTCAGGATGCTGCCGCATTTATTCGGGATTTTAATCCTGATGATATAACATGTGTCAATATGTTGGCAAAATCTACAGGAATATGGGAAATAAGTCAGTCTATACGGGATATTTTAATTGATGATTTAAGTGAAAATAAGTCTATACCAGTTAGATTTTCATACATTATCATTAGGTTAGTATTTAGAGATTATATTGTATAGAATTTATAATTATTTTTAGCAATATTCTAGAGCACCTCTAGGACAAGATGATGCGGAGGATATAACAGCTGAAGTGGCAAATGAACATACTGTCAATATCGGTCCAGGAGACGAAAAACTAAGACGATCGTTAATCGACATATTAAATGGGACAACAGAAGCAAGAACATCCATGTATGTATTTATCTTTTTTTTTTCATTTCAAATATTTTGCTCTTTAATATTTTTCATATGAAAAAAACATACTGGATGGTTTTTAATTTTTATTTTAGGAATATAACAATTCATAAATTAATGCCTCGTTTTATCCATGTTAAACCAAAAGCAAAACCAGAAGAAATTGATTCGTTCGCCAAGAAAGGTAATAATATTTCTCTACTAAAATTTTGTGCAGGTTAATATTCATTTTTTTGTCATCTTTTTATTTAGTTTTCCCTTATAATTATTATGCAAATATAACGATGGGATTGAAAGCCACTCCAAATAGTACCGATGTGTGGTGGGAAATGTTTGAAGAGCCAGATGACCAGCCTCCACAACAATTCAATGCTTCGTGTATGTATTTTAGTATTCACATTATCATGAAGTGAAAATTCACAATTATAATATTTTTTTATCCACATGCACTAAACGAAAATTTTTCTGTAAATCCTTGACTAATCCCAAAAATTCTGGGTGCCGTCTTTGATGAGTTAGAAGAAAAAGAGAAGTAGTTAGTGTCTAGTTCATTATTGACTAGACAATTTTTTGTTCGGAAACTGACCAATCTTTACTGGCACATCGATAACCCAAAGACTAGTAAAGAAAAAGGTATACCGGCACTTGAGTGCCAACATTTGGGCACGAACGACATTTAGGTGCAACGACAGTTGAGATTCAAAGACGCTGGTAAGGATGTGGTTGAGAGTGAGTATCGATGAAGATTAAACAAAAGGTGATTACAGTTGGATATGAGTAATATAGAAAAAGCTCTCACACCGTACCGAGGTTGTTTGAAGAAAATTTTATCGTTATGCAGCATACTTTAACAAATGCATTCTTACTGAATGCTTTTGTCGTACATGCGCCCAAATGTCTGGTAGTAAAAAAAACGACAACTACTATCCATCCCAAAATACAGTGCCGGTGGGCATTTTTTGAATAACTTTTGACGGAAATGAGATAGAGACCTGCGATTTTTGCTCTTCGATAGCCAAGACTTGAGCAGAACTTTTCATAAGAGGAAACAACTTTGGAAAAACTTTCAAAGATCAGGTTTCCAGAGGATCTTTGGAAAACCAGCTCCGTTCTCAGAAAACTACCATATAATGTTAGTAATTTTTTTGCATGCGTAGATAGTACGAATGTTATTCTACAAAATTATGCAAGTTCCGGCTCTCCTGCTATCGTCGTTCGGACAGGACTCGCTTTCCCCGAGCACGTGTCTATCTCCGAGCAGACATCTCTGGGAATGCCATGGAGTATAGGTAATTCGACTATGTTGAGCATAGTGGCAACATTTGTTTTTATGTACAAATGAATATAACTTCACCGGAGGCATTTTAGTGAAAAACCGGTCTTGCGTCTGTTACTAGCAAAAATTAAAATTCTTATGTCTCGGCCAAATCTCATACTGACTCAAGGAAATTTTCATGAAAAAAACTTAAAAGGTGCCATATATTGTTGATCACGCCGACAACGTGGTTCAGCAGAACACTGCTCTGAGGTTTTTCAGAAGGTTTCTGGAAAACCTTAAACCA